CGGCTTGGCGCCGGCCATCTTATCGTAGCTCTTGCGCTCGTCGTCCTGTCCGTACATCTGACGTCCGCCGCCGGCGCTGTTTCCCACATTCGGCATCATGTTCATGAATCCGAAGGTGTGTGGAGCGGCCGGGTATGGCTGCTGCATGAACAACGACGATAGGTTTGGCTGTTGCATGTACGAATTGGCTTGGAACCCTGGTGGTGGTCCAACATTCGACGGCTGCTGTGGTTGCTGATCACGTCCACTTTGTGATCCGAACTTGTTGAAGTCCATAAGTCCATGAGTCTCTCGTTGCTGTCCTGATTGCACTTGTGGTGCATTTGAGGTCAGTGTCTGGGAAGCAGACTGCGGGAGAATCGTCGACAGATTGCTCAAATCAACTCCCATTCCGTACTGCATGAGTGCAGCGTACTGATCATCGCGGACTCCACCCATTGGATTGTACATGTTCATGTAGGAGTTCATGTATCCGTACGGCATCTGCGGGGCAAACAACATGTGTTGTTGTGGATGCTGTGGGTGTCCTTGTTGCTGCTGAGCCGGTGGCGTATTCTGCTGTTGAGTCGGCTGCTGCACTTGCTGCTGTGGTTGTTGCGATGATTGTTGCGACGGAAGCTGTCCAGGATTGTTGAACTTGTTCGAGGACGACAGGCGATCCGTTGGTGGGTACGAGGAGGATGAAGTGTCATACGACAGTCCTCGGTTCGATTGTCCGTATCCCAACGGTGGAGAGGAGGATTTCAAGTTGTAATCGCCATTTGGAAGCGATCGTTCTGGCTGAAAACAACGAAAATTAGAATTTCACAAAGTTCCAATTCGACAAACTCACCTCAACTTGTTTCGGGATCATTCGGGGCGAGTTAAACAGGTTTTCATTGTTTGTAGAGATCGATGCAGCGGATGGTTCGGAAGGTTGTGGGAGTTGTGGGCTTGGGGGAGCATCAACAAATCCAAATGAGTAGTCGTGGAGGTTGGTTGGAGCAGTGGTTCCAACAAATTCAACTCCTGGATCAGGGAGGGTCTGAACTGGAGCAGCACTCGGGGTTGGGGACACAGCTTCTTGTGCATCGTGAATTCCAATTCCGAGCGATGACTTCAGTTGATTGGTCCACGCCTGATTGGCTTGATCTGGTGAGCTTTGTACATTTTCATCATGGTGAGTTGACACGTTCGGCGTCTGCTCTTCAACCGCTGGGGCCTGTTCGTCCTGGAAGTATCCTTCATCTTGCTGTTGCGAAGTTTCTGGTTCATCCGAGAACTGTGCTGGCTCTTGCTCCTCCTTCACCGGACTCTCTTCTGGAGCGGCTTGTGATGGAAGCGGTGGTTGTGGAGACAGACTCCGCCTTGGTGGTGGTGCTGGTTGCGGATTCTGTGCTTGTTGCTTTCGTAGGGCCTCCTTACGGTGAGCGGCAGCTGCAACAGCGGCGAACGAGATTGGAGCTGGAGCCGACGAAGTTGGTACGGTAGCGGCGACAGATTCCTCGACTGGTGGTTGCACTTCGGTGACGTTGGTATCAACTTTGGTCGAGTTCTAAAAAAATTCGATAGAATTAGAATGATCATTTTTGAAAAATTCTTACATCTTCAAGATCAGCAGTGAATGCATCTGGATCAAGAGTTGACGATGGAGCCACAGCTCTGGAGTATCCTCCTCTGCTTCCGCCTCCTCGTCCACGTCCAACGTACGGTCTTTCAAATCCACCACGGCTCGGGCGCGATGATCCACCTTCTTTGAAATCACCTCCTCGACCTCCTTCTTTATAATCACCTCTTGGCTCACGGGGCTCACGGAACTCGCGTGGCTCTCGATTCTCACGATTATTATCCCGGGTGTCTCGGCTCTCGCGTGGTGTCGCTCCGCTTGAACGGCCGCGGCCACCTCTGTCGACGAAACCGGTGCTTCCACCTATAAAAAAGTTTTAACGTGACAAACAAAGAATAAAAAACAAACCTCTGCCGCCTCTGCCCTGGAAGTTTCTGCTGTTGAAACTGCCTTCATCCGACTTCTTCTTCTCTTTCTTTGGTCCCTTCTGTTCGGTCCATGAGTCGAGTTTGTCGCCAGCCTCCAAGATGTAATCGATTGCGCTGTACAGAACCATGTCTCTGTCCAGCAACGCTATCTCGGCTTGTGCTGATGTGCATCCGGTGGTTTCGGTAATCTGCAAGAATTTTCCTTATGGTCATTATCTTGTGCGCGGGAACCCATTATTCTCTCAACATCTGGATAACATGCGCGAACACCTGCTTTTTCTGTGTCCTTTTCTTTTCGATTTTATTTGCCATCTGCCCCTTCCTTTCTATCTATCGAAGTTTTTATTTACACTGAAAACCGACGCCTAACCCCGATTCCTCTTCCTATCTAAGTACAAAACAACATCACGTGCCTTCTGTGCCCGTCATTATGATTCAGAGATCACATTGACGCAACAATAGCGAAAACAGGGTGTTCTGGAATTGACATAGAAACTTACGGTCTTAATCATCAACTGCATGTCCTCCTCTGTGCCGGAAACTCCGTCCAGTGTGAGTCGCTGAAGTCGCGCTTGATCGCTGGTAGCTTTTTTGTCGCTTTTGATACCCATTCTGGAAGAAAAAACTATAGTTTTTATGATTGGAAATCGAGGTCAATTGAAAATCGATAGGAGTGTGACGGGAAGGTGTGAAAGCGACAAGAAAGTGTGAAAAGTGGGGAAAAAAGATCTCTCATGATAAAATCTATGCACTTTTCAGCCAATTTCCGCATGGATAAGCGGGAATTCGAAGAAACTTACACTTTCAGGCATAAAAACACAAATTCATACGAAAAGTCTCTTTTCAGGCGGAAATACTGAGAATTTCATCAACTTCCTTCGAAAAAGATGACAATTACCATCAAGAAATGTTTAAAACCCAAAATTTTTGTTCAGTGAAAAATGAATTCTAACCTATTTTTTAAACCAATTTCAGATGTTTTCTCATTAAAAAATGACTAATTTCAAGGTAAAAAGCTGAGGAAGCTTTTTATGGACGCACACTATTGCGAAAATTGGGTCAAATCGATAAAAAATGACTGGGAATGACTCGATCTCGTCACTTTCCGGATAAAATTCCCGCCCGGATACGAATTTCCCGCATTTTCAGATTTTTTTTTCGAAAAATCGAAATAATCAGTGATTGGCTAGACTAGAACCTCGTTTAAATCGCCGTATTTCCCGCAGTTGAATTCAGCGGCGACCGCGACGCGACACGCAACGCGGCTCCGCCCACCAAATGCGGTCGTGGTCTCGCAGCGAATGCGCGTACGATCACTCTCAACGAGTATAAAACCCAGTCCGTTTTGGCTCGTTTTTCAAATAAATCGCCATTTTCTCGAGGAAAAACGAAGAAAAACGAAAAAAACATGCGAAAAAGTGAAATTCCAGCTAAAAATTGGAATAAAACATTGGGGAAAAAGAGCAGAAAAGTGTATATTATTGGTTTTTTTTTCGTTTTCAATATATACGAATTTTTCGAATTCTCACCGATATTTTCTTGATAATTTTCACACAAAAATTCAACAAAAAAGCCAAAATAAAGAGAATTTCAGGGAAAATGAGCCTTCCTCGCTTTCGACTCGTTCAGGGAAAGGCGCTGGGCGAACGTTCAGGTCCACCGCCACCGCTGCAACAACAACCACCACCACCTCAACAAATCCATCAGCAACAACAACCTGTAAATAATATGCCACCAGAATCAGTAAGTTTTGAAAATTTCAAAAATAAATTGACAAAAAATCAATTTTCTCTTCCAGATGCCACAAGTGAAAGTTGAGGTGGACCTGATGCAAGATATACCATCACAGCAGGAGCCGCAGCAGCATGTGATGCACCAAATAAAGCAGGAAGATCCGATCTCGCCACCCAGGAATCAGATGATGGGGGCATCGCGTTAGTAATTTGGGAAAATTCCGATTTCCCACCTAGAAAGCCTTTGAAAAAAAGTAATTTTTGTTCAGAACCACCACCACAAATGATGCAGCAACGCGGACCAACACCTCAACAGATGTCTCACTTCGTCCAACAACCTCAACATCCTCAGATAATGAATCAGCCACCAATTCCACCTCAGAATTCAGCGAATCAGCCTCAAAACCCGAATTCTGAGGATAAAAATGTGCAAAAGTGTGTGCGATTCTTGAAAACGTTGATTAGTCTATCCCAAAATGAGGACCCCGAGATGCCGGATAAAGCGTTGAGAGTCAGCAATTTGATTCAGGTAAGAACTGGTTTTTAGGGCTCTTTTTTGAGCTCAAATTAGATTTTTAAGCCATTTGGAGTCTAAAAATCTTCAAAATCCACTTTTCAGGGCGTTATCTACATGGAAACAACAGCTGAGCAGTTCACACGTGATCTTCAAGAAGTCCTCAGATCACAAGCACAACCACATCTTCTTCCTTTCCTTCAGAATACGTTGCCAGCACTCAGGAATGCTGTTCGAAATGGTTTGTTGTAATTTGAAGGAAATTATGCTGAAATTTATTCAAAATTCTTCAAAAAATAGGCCAAACCCCTTGAAAAATAATCGAAAATTCACTGAGATCGATTCAGAAACTATAAAAAACTGGTCTAAATTTCATAGAAAGCGGTCCAAATAGCACTAAATGACTCCAGAAACGATTTGAAAATGGCCCAAATTTCTAAAAATTACCTCAAAAATTATGTAAAATAATTAAAAATTCAATGAAAAACCCTTCTATTTTTTCCAGGAACCGCCAGTGTAGAAGGCGTCAATCCACCACCCGGCTACGTCTTCAACAACGGACGTCATCCACAGAATGCTCCACCAACAGCTCAAGCACCTCCACAACAACAGCAGCAACCCCAGCATATGACTCCACAAGCGCCACCACACGATATGAGAGGTCCGCCAATGAATCCACCAATGAATCAAGGAGTTCCAATAAGTCAAGCGGGGCCACAAGGAGGTCCAGGAGGTCCAGGACCACAACAAATGATGAATCGAATGAATGTGGATAACGGTACTCCACAAGGAAGACCTAATTTCCAGGTAAAGACTTGTTTTTGAGCCTCAAAACACTGTTATTTTCCAGCAAAGACCACCTGGACCACCGCTCCAATCTACTCCAGTAGTCCGTACGATATCTGGAGGACCAATAGGACATCCACAAGGACCAGGACCACATCAGCAACCACCTCATCCACAGATGCCGCCTTCCCAACCACCAAGAACTCCACAATCCGTCTCTTCCCAGGGACCACAGCCTATGGAAGTTGATGGATCTCCAGCTCCACCTCCCCCACGACGTCAATATCCAGAAGGCTCGTTGAAATCTGCGATTCTGAAGCACGATGAGATTCTGAATAGAATTACGAAACGAATGATGGCACCGTGCCAAGTGGAGGAGGACGCGTTGATTGCGATTTCCGATGCGGTCGAGTCGCATTTAAGAGAGATGATAGCGATGATGGCCGGGTTTGCGGAGCATCGAGTCGAGTCGCAAAGGTGTGAAAGTTCCTAAAACCGGCAATAAATGATCCAAGCTTTTCAGAATTCCCGAGAACTACGTCCCTGTGGATGACGTCAAACGACAACTGAAATTCCTCGAGGAGCTCGATCGTCAGGAAGAGGAGATGCGTGAGAATCGAGAAAAGGATGCGCTGATTCGAGCCAGTAAAAATAAGAATATCGGAAAGGAGACGATTGAAAAGGCGAAAGAAATGCAGAGACAGGACGCCGAGGCGAAAAGGAATCGAGATGCGAACGCGGCGGCGATTGCAGCATTGTCCAGTAGTCGGCCAACGAAGAAGTGAGCAAAATGATCTGAAAATTGAGCTAAAACAGAAAATTTTCAGGTGGGAAGGCGCCGCTAGCACGTCGACCGCTCCACGCCCACGTACTGTTCGTGTCACCGCTCGTGATCTTCAAATGTTGGTCAATCAGGATAATCGATTTACGGGGTTCGTTTTCACTGAATTTCTATGGAAAATTAAAAGGAATTCAGGAATCAAAACAGCTAGAAATGTCAAATTTTTAGCCTTCAAAATGGTAATTTTGCCTTTGAAAACGTCCTTTTGAGCCTAAAAAAGGCTCATTTTTGAGCTTTGAAGTTTCATATATTGCTCTGAAAATATCAATTTTGATCCCTCAAAATGTCATATACGTCTTTAGAAATGTCATTTTTAAAGCCGTAAAATGTCATATATGACCCTAAAAATGTCTATTTTGATCCCTCAAAATTCTATATACGGCTCCAGAAATGTCTATTTTGGGGCTTAAAAATTACATATATGACCTAAAAAATATCAATTTTGAACCATAAAATTTTAGTTCTTTGGCCATAAAAATGTCAATTTTGATTCGTTAAAATTCTGTTTTTGGCTCTAAAAATGTCAATTTTTGTCACCTAAAATTTAGCCTAAAAATAGCTTTAATTTAGCCTAAAAATAGCTTTATTTTAGCCTAAAAATAGCTCATTTCTGACTTAAAAATTACAATTCTTAAAGGTGGTGTGCGGTGAAAAATTTTATCGCTTTATTTTGTGCAGAAATCCATGTAGATTCCCCTAAAAATAAAGGAAAAATTCAACAAAAAATTCCTTCATTGAGAAAAACGGCATTGAAAAGTCAAAGTGGGAACCGGTGGCCTAGCGGCCAGGTGTGAGTTTTCTAGGCTAACTGCCGGTAAAAGCGCGCGAAATTCGAATTTTTATTTGATTTTCAGTATTTTCTTTGATGTTTTTCAAAGATCTCAAAATTTTTTGGTTAATTTCCTCCCAGGTGTATAAAAAACCGGGGATCCTCTAGAG